AGATTCACATTCATGTACTGCTTAAGGCAGGTATTACAGTTTTGATTTCAGGTCTTCACATGGAGCTTGCATCTTCTCCTCCTGCTTCATGTTCTCCCCATGTTCCTCTGGGTCCTCTGGCCTTCCCTTGTGGTCCAAAGATATGCAGATATGCCCATGGCGTGTACGTGTGGCCTAGGGTGTACCGGCAATCCCTCCCCCCTCCCCTCCGTTTGCCTGAAGAGACTCCAGGCCACCATGTGGCCCAGTACTGAATAAGCGGTTTGATGATGGTTGGATGGACATTGATCTCCTGTCAAAAACTGTCCCTGATGTCTGAAGAAAGAAATCATGTTTGAGGCAAAACTGTGACAGTAATTGTCCTTCAAGCACAAATGGAGTCTTACCTAATGCTGGATTCATTTTACCATGGGTTATAATTATGAATTACATTACGAACAAGTTATAATTTAGTAATTTTCCCTTTTTCCTGCCTCAGGCTGTTACAATTACCTCCTGTAGGCAATCAGTTATCTTTCTGCAGACAGCTGGTTAAACAGCTACGGTGTTGCTTCTAAACTATCCTGTGAACTTCATTAGAGGACTTTGGTAACATCCACCTACCCATCCATCATCTAAACACGCATTCAGTATGGCGGGGGGTGAGGAATACAACCTGGGAGATGAAGAACAAGTCAAAATAATGATTTACTAAAATTTAAGACAAACTGTATTTAATACATTGATACTTGAAATTGTATTCACGACGAATTTACATTTGTTTATTAAAACAGAAATGTGATCCATCCATCTCCCATCTTATCCTGGGCGTGATTGTGTGTGTGTGTGTGTGGGGGGGGGGGGGGGTCTGGAGCCTATCCCAGGCAGCACAAAGCAGGGGCCACACGCTAGATGGGATACCAGTCCAGAATTAACAAGTACTGCCATTTTATAAGCTGTAATCAAACTGTAGACCTGTCTGTGTATTACAATTGCATCCTGTGTCCTTGGGCGTAGAAGTGAAATTTAGTGCGTTTATTTTTAAAGAGTGTCGCCTCTAAACACTCTGGAATGCCACAGGCCATGTGCTCACATCAACTGAGACGTCGCACGACCGGTCATTTGTCTCTGTTGACCGCTCTGCTCTCTGGAGGTCATTGCTGCTAAGACGACCCATTTTCCTGCACGGACCTGCATTCCATGGCGTCATCACACATTTGTCACCCCCCCCCCGCGTTTCCATCCGAGCAGATTCGGCCATCGCTGGTGCCGGCACATGAAATCCAAATGAAGGGCTCCAAATTACAAGATTAATTAACCGTTGGTTCTCCAGAAAAAGTCACAGCAGATGGGAGTGTTAGGCCAGCTGTTTGTGATTCATTTGTCAGCTCCAGATGAAGTTCATGCACAGAGGTCCACAGGCTGGGATTTGAATATATAACCTTCTGGAGCGTTCTAGTGGTTGACATTATATATAACGTGGGCTGGGGTCCGTTCTGTGAACTGTTAAATGTCCAGTTTATTTAAAGGTGACGACCCTTATGTGCAGCTCTTCTTGAAAGTAATCTCATGAAATCAGTTTCTTTATTAGTATTTAAAGATTGGACATGGAAAATTCCTCCTTGTAGGATCATGTGGGGAGTGTTATATAAACTCAGTTGCATGCCTGTTGAGTTACCTTCACTGACATCAAAATCTGAATAATATCAGATGGGAAAGTCATGGAATCCAGAGCCCCCGGTGCTCCACCGCCCCCACTACTGCCTTTCTATTCCAGTTAAATATGAATAAGGAGGCCTTCTGCAGTGAAGGACAAGGCCGAGAGGCTTCTTCAGGCCTATAATCAATCCTGCCTCCATCACTCTGTCTCAGGCTCTGCCATCGTTTACTCTGGTCTCACTTGGAAACTTGGACTTCGGAACTTCAGACAGAAATCAAATATTACAGGCTGGCGCCTGGCTTTTATCTTCACACTATGCAGACCCCAATTTAAACCCAATCTGGAGATTGTGGGCAGGGAGGAAAGTGCTGAAGCAAAACATCTGTGATCAGCTCCAATTTGGCAGAGCCTGGAGCCATGACTTTGTCTGAACAAGAATAAGGCGTTTATCTCACAAAGCGAAAGAACGGGACAGTCAGGGGCAATGCTCTCCTTATCGCTCATTATACACAAATCATCTACACAGACAACTTTCTCTACTCGGTAAAGAACACTAAGAGATAATTAAACAGCATCTCAACAAGAGGCTGATTTGAGCAATTCAGCATATATGCAATAACTCCCAGTGTGTTGGTGTATTCTTTAAGTAAAAGACAGTTCAAAATGGTATTTTGCACACTGAAGAGTCTAACAGATAATGCATTTTTAAATAATATTGATTAATTTTTGTCCATGCGATAGATCTATGTGCAACAGTCTATAATAATCAGTATTCCAGTGGTGTTCTGTGTCTACTGCATTATGTATTAGCCAGTGTTTCAGCTGTGTGGTGATGCTGTGAAGAACTGTCTGTTCCCTGCATGTTCGCTGCCTTTTAAGGTTTATGGGGCCCCTCATTAGGTTTACCTTGGTACTGTACTTCTGAAAGTTATGGAAGTGTCCACTTCAGCACTCAGTTCATATTTTTATTTTTGTGTGGTACTGCTGAAATCTCTCAAGGGAGTTGCCCTCGTCCTCCAACTATATGGTGGTGCTGAAATCTCTCGGAGGAGTTGTCCACATCCCTGGTCTATATGGTGGTGCTGAAATCTCACAGAAGAGATGTCTATATCCTCAGTCTGTATGATAGTACTGAAATCTCTCAGCGGAGCTGTATACAGCCTCAGTCTCTAGGTTGATGGTGAAATCTTTCAGAGGAGCTCTCCACATTTAGGGTTTATTCGGTGCTGCTGAAATCTTACAGAGGAGCTGTGCACATCCTCCATCTACAAGGTGATACTGAAATCTCTCAGAGTAGCTGTCCACATCCTCAGTCTATATGATGGTGCTGAAATCTATCAGAGGAGCTGTGCACATTCTCCATCTACAGGGTGATGCTGAAATATTTCAGAGGAGCTGTCCACAACCTCAATCTATATGGTGATGCTGAAATCTCTCAGAGTAGCTGTCCACATCCTCAGTCTATATGGCAGTGCTGAAATATATCAGAGGAGCTGTTCACATCCCCAGTCTATATGGTGGTGCTGAAATCACTCAGAGGAGCTGTCCACATCCCCAGTCTATATGATGGTGCTGAAGTCTCTCAGAGGAGCTGTTCACATCCCCAGTCTATATGGAGGTGCTGAAGTCTCTCAGAGGAGCTGTCCACATCCCCAGTCTATATGGAGGTGCTGAAATTTCAGCACCTCCATATAGACAGACACTATAGTGTTGCATTTTAATGCTTCAGTGCTGACCCTGGCAAATAGATGAAATCCTGATCAAAGCCACTGCTACTTTATATTGGCTGAAATGCTACGTCATAATAGCAATGCATAACGCTAAGCCCATTATACTGTGGTTAGACTGTCTAATATACATTACAATGTCTCAGTTTGATAACAGCATAGGTCTTCTGCTTCCGCAAAGTGTTAGAGATTTATATAACGGTCCTTAAGTTATGATTAAAAATAGAACTTTTTGAGAGCCAAATATAAGCTGGTGAAAACAAAAGCAATTAAAACTTACTTAACATATTCAGCCCGGGGGAGGGCGGGGGGGGGGGTTACATATACCTATGTTAGCTTCTTCAACCAATTATTTCTCTAGGAAAAGAGATTAAAACTCTCACCTCAATCTCACCACTTTATTGATTTCATTGTATTTAGGAGACTTTGCCTATGATATTCTGCATTGCCCTTGTATGAGTAGCAGGTATGCATGTTTGTCTTTCCTCTAGTCATTAGTCTATTCTGGCTTATTTTTATTTATGGCAAGAGAAAGAGCTATTGAAAAAAATAAAAAAAACATGTAAGAAAATAAAAAGTAGAAGAACGTCACAGTGTGCATCGGGAATTGTTATGGGTTGGGGGAGGGGGGGTATATCTGAGAGTACAGTCCTTGGCGCCTTTGTTTTCACAGAATTGTTTCCAATTAAATCCAATTCTGATAACACATATAATTTGCGAGCAGAATTCTTTGGGGTCCTGAGAGTCAATTTAAATATTTCAGAGAACAAATAGTGTTTTTTAAAAGCATATTTAGTCAAGTGTCACTAAAAGGTTTGCCCATAAACACTTCAGTGGTGTGTGCGGAATGTGAACGGGCCTGGATTCAAATGAAAGGGGACTGGAAATGGGGACAAGATGGCGCCCCCTGCAGATTGGGTGGTAGGACTGCAGGCTATGGAGGACCGCAATGCTGTGTTTGGGTGCTGCTTCATGAGCTCAGTCATGCTCAGGAGGGAGTTCCAGGCATAGATCTCCTAGATATATGATCTGAGGTGGTGACGTCCCTGCACAGCCCGTACTGTTCTAAGGCTCCAGAAAATCTCCCACCAATGTAACGGTGCTGAAGGCCCGGCATCACGATGAAGAATGACCTCCAAGCTGCTCAAGGTCATGCTGCAAGTCCCCCCCCCCCAGTTGGAAAGCACACCATGTGCAGCAACTCAGCTCCCAAAAATCCTGAGGAAACATAAGACAGTCACAGCAGGGGTGAAACAGCACCTGCTCCAAAAACTGCTTTGGTCCTCACCATCTTCTGTCCTGGAGCTGGAGGTGTACACAGGTCTTCAAAGCTTGGGAGAAGGAGAGAAGATCCCCTTTAGGAGAAGAAAAAACAGCAGTATTTTCCACTGTGGGGACGAATCTAACTGACCTTAATGTCTTACTGTTACACTCTGCTTTGCTTCATCCCATAATTACCAACTGGGCCATTTGCTGTTCTCTTCATCACCCAGTTCGACTCGAATGTTGGGTTAAATTTAAATCTGAACTCCATTTTCTCCCGGGATTCATCTGACAGTAAGCACCCATAATTACCGTTCATCGCCCCCGTGTCGGGAAAAGATCCGCACTCCATTTTGCTATTCAACTCACTTCTGCAATTTTCATTCGCTGTCCGTCGCCTATTCTCATCCCTCAGCGGATCTATTTCAGGCAGCGTTTCACCTTACGGGCTGCTTTTATCCATACATCTGCAAAGAAAGCAACACGTGGGCGGGACCTTAGCCTGAAAACGAGACCGCGCCTTCCGATGACAGCCATAAGTCATGTGACCGGTCACTCTAGTCCAAGCTGCTGCGATCTGTTCAATGTTTTGTTCCTTCCTCACATCCCCCCAGGAGGAAATGTGGGTTGAGACCTCACAAGCTTATCTTTTCAGGGGATGCAGTCACAGCAGTCACAGCAGCAGGTTTTGTGGCCAGAGGGGGCTGCAGGTTCAATTCCAAGAAGATCTGGGGGGAGGTTGTTGTAGTATTGAGAAAAATATATTTAAAAAAACAAGCCAGAAGAATGAAAGGGTGCAGCTGGAAACAGCACATGCTACTGAGGGTAACAGTTGGTTTCACTCTGATCTCAAAGTCAAGCACCAGGGTGACTATTGGTCCAGGTGTGTAAAAATAAGCATAAATGTGATAAGAAACCAGAGAACTGTGGTAACAGTGATGGTTCCAGTAAAACGTTCTGGGGCCAGAAGGTCACCCACCCCCCCGAGGTTCAAAACATCGAAACGGTTACATTGTGTTTCCTAGCTGCTGGTTCTGTGTGTAATCATTTCTTTCAACACCCTTCTTAACGCTTTACAACGTTTGAAAGGCATGGCATAAATTATCAGTACAATATCCCCATCACACGACACAACCATTGTCTTGCCAATTATTACCAACACTGTTATACTGACAAACTGCGTTTTGTGAACATTGTGCTTGTATATATTGATTTGATGTTGCTGTTCTAAATTATTCAACATTCAGTTAAGATCTTTAGTATTGCTTTGGTCTTGGCAGAATAGCTAAATACAATTAGGCAGAGAGTAGAGGAGGTCCCTTTACCTAACATCTATTTGTTCAGGTTCCTGCTGTCACTCAATTAATCTATGACCTTCAAACAAAGTGTTTTTAAATTGACCTGTCGCCGTGCGGAGAAACCCGGGAGTTCTCTAATCCCTAGTGTCGGAAAGAGGGATGTGTCGCCGAGGTAACCGTAGGACGGCATAGATTTCAGGCGAGCCACAGTGAGAGCAACCAAGTTTAATACCAGCAGGGCCTGATCTCATTTGTGAGCCTCACACAGAGCCGAGAAAGAACATGTATATTCCATACAGCAGGTACCGCTTTGAAAGAGGGTGGTCTTCAAGGGAAACCAGGTCTTTATTATGGCTATCATTAATGTGTCATCACTCCGGCCCTCGTTATCAGTCCGAAGAGACTTGTCGCAGGCCTCCGTTACCCTGGTAACAGGCATAAAAAACAGACTGATGTAGTGGTTGCCATTTTGTTTTAATTAGCAGTAATGAATGTTCTGTCATATCAATTTATTGTTTGAAATAAGCCACTCATTATTATCCAGTCATTTACAGCTTAACGGGAAATCCCAGCCTTTCGTATTTTATATTATTCTTCATCAGGATTTCTCACGTACACTATAGCTGTCCCCAGTGATATTTAACATCTGGATTAATTGAGTGTTACATCTTGGCCTTCTGGACTTCCAATAAAAGAGGAGAAAAGTAAAATTTGAACACACGACTTGAGCTGTCACCTGTCACGCGACGCTTGAGCACACTGATGAGGATGATGGTTCAGTTGCCACTGTGATGACAGTTTTCGTACCCTGATACAGGGCAAGTCGGGGCTCTGTAAGCGAGTGGTTCTGCCAATCAGTTTCCAAAGGTAGTTGAACTGGCTAACTGACTCATATCCCTTGGTTCCTGAGTCTGTTCCTCATCGCCCCCCCCCCCCCGCTCCCCTTATAAATATGAGATATTAACCCCCCAGCATCCAGTGACTGCTCACCTTTCCTTCCTCTGTAGCATGTTTTGCGCATGATCCTTCTTATGACGACCTGGTTTCCGATCATGGAGGAAGGGCGTGTTGATTGTCAGCATAAGCACAGCGATTTTTTTTAAATCCTCCCTTAAACCAAGGTCTCCCACAAACTGATAGATTTTTTGTAATGGAGAATCAAAATGGCTGGACTCTACTCAGCATGTGCTGTTTACTGAACGGTGTGCCTTTGCACTCCAGTGAAAAATCTGAAGCAATAATTATTTTAAAAACAGATGGAAAAAACGGACAAGTGAGCTTTTATCATCCTCTGTGAATTCAGCTCCCCCCCCCCCCCCCAAAAAAAAACAGTAGTTTGACAGACAACACGGAGTTAACAGGGGTTTATTTCTAGCTGTATGTCGGAGCTTTGCCTTGCCCTCGACGTTACATTTTAAAGGCCTTCACGCATGTTTTCTTGTGCAGATATTGTGGCGGCAGTGGAAAGCACAATCATGCATTTCACAGATGCATGTTTTCGTAATGGTTATGGCGGCGACATCATACCCCGCCATACACAGAAAATTACTGGGGAAAAAAATTTCCCATATGGTGGAATACGAAGATGAAATGATGCAGTAGTAATTAATGTGCAACACTTGTTATTAAAAGTAGTACTTAATATTAAAGGCATTTAATGTAGTCGTTTAGTAAGGTAATTTGTGCTGTTTGTCTACATGTCACATACATGTTACGACGATGTTTTAGGTCTATATACTACCTCAGCAAGAGTGACTAAGTAAATATTTACTACAGAGATTACATAACTTACTCTAATGAAATATTGCAGTGTACTGTAAATCCATCCAGCTATTTTTACGGCCTGTGTCTGTGTGTAAGTGCTTGTTTTATGAGACATTGGCGGTTAGACATGCTTTTGCAAGCGTTATAGTAGTTTCGCCGAAACGTAACATCTCTTTTACAAAAGCTTTTCAAGCAAAAACTTTTATTATCGTCACCAGTCACTCCGTCCAAAGCAGCTGTCAAATTTTATCCATTAGTAATGTTGGATGTATTCAACTGTAGTAGTCCGGGGCCCTTAAACCCCTAAAACAGTATGTTTGTTAGCGTATCTATCAACAATTTGCGTTGAAGATTAATCGCTTGTCCGTAGACTATTAATCGCCTTTCACTTTGCGTACCAGGTCACTGGTCCGTTATGCGCCTCGTTGCTGGTTTATGATACAACAAAATGCTGAATCGCCTTTTAAATTATTATTAGCTGTGTACAGCAATTACTGGATCGTTTAAATGCATGGGTTAGATTTGTTCATCTTAACAAATGCTTTCAATGCGATTGCCTGACACCTGACAGTCCGTCATATTAATGAATGAACATTCGGTGTTAGGGGCTCCTCTGGGGTGATTTCAGCCTGTAACTTAATTCATTCCTTCAGCGATGATTATGCTCTATAACATACCACTAATAACATTTACTTACATAAATTTGCGTCAGTGTGGCTAGAAAAGGGTCACATCTGCTACGATAATAGAAAGACTGTCATATGCGAAGCTTTTATGTGTTGAAAATCCTATAATGCGGTGTTTATTTTCACCAGAACAGCACCGAAAAGCACGCGTATCATTGTGTTATATAGCCCTGTAGATAGCAGGGCAATTCATCTAGTTGCCGTCAGCCGTAATAAATTAAAAATTAAGTTCAGCTCAGCATGTTGAGATGGGCTATGCGATGCCTGAATAATACTTAATTTCTACTATCACGTTACCTCCGGTGGTTTGCCTTCTTGAAGGACAGTTCATATAAAACATAAGAAATTGTTCTTGATAGTCCGTAGGTCGTGAGGTAAATTTGAAATTTTTAACACACCCGCATCATCGATATTGACTGTTGTTCAGATCAGCAGCGATTATGTTCATCTGCAGCGCTTATAAAATGTACTTTTTTGACGATATAGGATTTTGTTGTGATCAAATCCCCCTATTCAGTAACGAATAGCCAGATTTTTATGCCTTGTATGCTGCTGCTCTTTCAGATTTTGAACCTTTTATGTCGCTGGAGTGAGGAATAGGGAAATCATAGCCGGCTGCCGTCCTCATCACTTACGTACATTGGCTGACGGGCAGCTATCAGGGATAAAACGGGACTAAATCTCTATCTTTGCTAAGATTTCCCTCCATGCATGCTGTTATTAAATTAGGAGCAAAGTCATAATTTCAACTGGCTCTCCGTCGTAGGTTTTGTTTTGTATTATTTTGCTTTCGGGGAGCGTGTCCCTGGTCATCCACGCTCGCCTCTCTCTCTCTCTGTATCTCATCCCCCCCTCGGGCCGTTGTACCCGCGTGCGCGCGCGCGTGCTCTCGCCCATTCTCACGCTTCACCGGTTGTATTTGCTATTGAAACTGAAAGTCTAATACTGCTCGCTGTACTTCGCCGGCTCCGCTCCGCCTGCCGGGGCACCTGTATTTCTGCGGTTAACAGCAGCGGGGTCTAAGCAGTAGGGTACCATGACTTCAGCCAAGGAAGCAAACGCGCCGGCCAAAGCGGCTCAACAGCAGGACCAGGTAGCACTATACTTTTATAAAAAAAAAAAAAATCTGCTTTATTTTTGCTTGCAATACGCGGGTTTGCTCCATTTCTCGGTCTCCACAAGAAACATACTGTTCACCCGCATCATCCGAACATCGGGAAAGACAGAGCACGCTTTTCTGTCTTGAAACTATCATATAATTACAGTACCGCGTAGCCGCTCATTATGCGCATGTGTGATTGTGAATATCCTAAGTCTGATGTGTGGAAATCTGTGCATTTAAGCGGAGCGGAGGAGCCAGACACCCGCTTCTGAATGGAAGCGGACTGCTGGATGTGCGCGGCGATTCCAGCGTACATGCATGCATGCGTCGGTGAACAGTTTTTAATGCAACCAGCTGTTTTGCCAATAGTATAAAGACTATGAATAACGTTGTCATAAACTGCAAAGCTCCGATGGTGAATTATTCTTCAACTGTGCACTGTCGACGTGCCGGTAGACGCCTTTCAGTCGGAGTTACAAACACTCCTGTTGGATCCGCATAAAGAGAGAACAACGCGGATGTCCTTACCATTTAATGCCGATCAAATGTAGGAAACCCGTTGATCATCATCTTATTTTTATATGCATAGTTTCCCTTGTCAAATATCAGACAATAACCAATAAAAAGTTTGTTTTCTGTGCGTTTAACTGCAATTCACTAAGACATGTCTAAAGAATAAAATCACAAAAATATTTAGATGGGATTTTAATTGATACGTTCAGATGTAGCCTCTTTTCCGGCTCCGCCAGTATAATCTAAAACATTCTGATATATTATATGTATGATTAAAAACCAAGCACTTGTTTTACTCTGTTCAACCCATTTGTCAATAATAATAATAAGCAAACAATTATTAAGTAACTAGAGCTGACCTCAAGTATCCTATCACCTTGTGCTCATGTGCAGTGTGCTGTGTATATTTTTTGACACGGAGCTTGTGTAAGTAAACGCTCACGTTCCTGAACATCTTTTAAAAACAATTTCGCGCAAATTAATACACCGGTCTACCTGTCACAGCCACACGTGAAACGAGAACTTCATACTGGTCCAATTAAGTTAAAAAAACTGACGCAATACTATAAACCCAACGGCAGTTAATTTGAGACAGACCAGATATGCACAAATAGTGTGAAATGTTGACTCCTGATGCTTTCTGGAGTGAGTCCCGAGCCATATTTTTTGCTAGATATTTTCGACACAGCTTTCTTTTTGCGGTATAACATCCTGAATAGTGATGTTAGTGTCAGTACCTAAAAACTACAAAACACTTAAATGTTGTTACTTTAGGTTCTGAAAAGTTATATAATGCTAAAGAAAGCAAGCACGGGCACGAACTGGCAAAAACAAGATTCAAACAGGCATGCTAATAAAACATTGTTAGGCCTTTATATTTATACCTCTTTTCTGAGAATGCGGGAAATCGTTAGTATATAACATTCAGTCAGCAGGATCTGAAACATGTATATTAGGCCTACAAATCACATGATTTTACATTTCGGCTTTACTCTAATGCTGTCTCTTGTACAGTTTAACATAGCGCGACTTTCATTTTGGACAATATGAAAGTAGGATTATGGTAGGCCTATAGGGTTATACTTGGCCGACTTGGTATGTGTACCAGCAACATGAAAGGATCGCGGAATTTTTATATTTTATCTTTTAACAGTAAGATCTTCATTGTAATTGTTACAGAAACTATTTAGGGTTTTATAATATGAACTTGCAACACACCCATCCCGCACTGAACCTGAAGACGGGTTAGCGAGCGCGCTGGCCGGGAGAAGGTGAGTCCAACAGGGGGAGGGACGTGCGATGGGACCGGGACGGGGCGGATGTCTGATGCGTGCATTTTTGACTGATTTGTAACAAGAATAAGGTGACGCTGCCAAAGTCTTTTTTTTTGCTATTAAGAGAGTTTACAATTGATACTGCTCATTAATGACTACAAGACGCTACAGATGCATCATTAACCGCAGTGGTAGGTTGAATATAGACGCGCCTCAGTCAAAAAAAAAGAAAATTAAACGGTAAATAACAAACAATCAATGTGTCAGCATATTGCGTGTCGAGTAGTTCAAATTTAAGTCGGTTGCTGAAGCCGCATTTCCAATCAAATTTAACATCGTGTCTTTTGAACATCACTTGCCTTGCTTCTGAAATCACGTTGCCAGTTGGTTCTCCAACCTTGCTGACCTCTTACAATTAACATCCGCGTCTCAGAGGAGAGGAGCATATGCTGTATTTCACCGCCGCGGCTGCAAGGAGGGGTGTTCGACACGCGGCGGGGGGTTATCGCACGCGAACAGCCGCCCGCAGCCAGGCTTGAGATCTGGAAGTCCCCCGTGCAACCGAGCACGGGTCCAGAAGACAAGCCGATGAGTGCGAATCGCCAGGTGGGGCGGGGGGTCTAGCTGCCCCTCCATCAAAATTTAGTCTCTCCCGTCTATGCCTGCGCATATTTAACCGAGTGTTATGCATTTTTCAGGTGTTCTTTTTCAGGTTTTTTTCTCTTAGATCCATAATAAATAGACGACGGTTGTAAAAGTTTGCCATTCCATTCACCTTAAAATCAGGACACGTGTGTTCATGAAGCACGCACATTAGAGAGCGGTCTTCCTTTATCCGTGCGCCTCAGTGATCTGTCCGGATCATTGCGTGATGAGATCCCCCGGAGGGAGGAAAGGCGCCCCTGTGAGAGAAGGAATTTATAGACGATCACCCCCTTACCGAGGGAGAATAATGCATCGTTATTGTAGGCAACAGGGCAGGAGGAGTCGGTTACGAATATTTGCGAATGTCGGACATAATGTATCAGTGTTTACCTTAGTCACGAGGACCCGGAATCACACAGTATGTGTCCAAAGTTTTGCCCAGTCTGACTGAACCACACCGTCTTAGCAGGTGCAGACTCTTTCCTGTACGCCTATTTCACGTTGCGTCAGAAAGCGTGACTGCTAAGGAGAGGAACGGCCCATTAGATGTGTTTGTCCAGCAAACCACCGTGCAGTGCCAGAGGTCTCGCAGACGCACCCCTGTAATCAGGGGCGCTGTAAGGGGGAGGAAAGCTAGGACGATTCAGGGGCCCTAAAAAATTAGGAAAATAACTGGCTTGGTTTGGACTGGGGGGCCTAATATGATATGCTTTCATGGGGCCCAAAATCTCTAGCAACGCCCCTGCCTGTAATACCACCATCTGGGTCAAATCCAACTCTCACAACCCTATTTCTGAGGCGATTTTTGTATCTTCACCACACCTTTGGAAATGTTTTCTTTGGGGATGTTTTTTTTAAATGCATTTTTTTTCTCCTATGAATTTTTATACTTGCATGTCATGTTAAATTAATTGTGAGGCACCTCCAGGGTAATTCATGGGCTCTAATGAGATTCTCATGCACTCACTAAGGTCTGCTTGGTCTAGAGGTCTTGCTCCGAGGGAAAAAACAAATGAAAACAGAATAATTACAGTACTGAATATAGGAGCGCGGATTGTCGGTTAAATTGCCACAAGCAGCATCTGACACTGTATGGGATGTTTGGTGTTGGAGTATGTATATGTATTTGTAGGCTATGAGTGTAATCTCTATAGTTACTGAAGCATGTTGTACATCTTGGCCAATCACACTTCTTCAAGTTCAAGTTGGTCACATGGTTTTGCAACTTGAACGATGGTGGAAGCTGCGGTGGCTGAGAGGAGGTCGCTCTGCAGGTTGGGGTGAGGAGTTCGCTAATGTGGGGGGGAGGGAGGGGGGCCTCTGGTTGAACCTCCTACAGAGCCGAAAGGACCAACTGGGGCATTGCAAAGGCTATGCCCCCACCCCCACTTAGCTGGGGAAAGGTAAATCTATTGGCGTTTTCCCACTGCCACCAAGAATCAAGCCGCACCCGAGCCATACAGCGAACTGACGGTTTTCCACTGTAAATTATCCAAACCGCACCCGAGTCGTACAGCGAACTGATGGTTTTCCACTGTAAATTATCCAAACTGGACCCAGGCCGTACAGAGAACTCATGGTTTTCCACTGTAAATTATCCAAACCGCACCCAAGCTGTACAGCGAACTGACGGTTTTTCACTGTAAATTATCCAATCTGCACCTGAGCCGTACCTGAGTACGCTGACATATCCCTGCTTACTAGCTGGGCTGAAAGTGTGACCAAACCAAGCTGGTCGTGTCACCACCATCTGATTGGTCGAAATGCATGAACATACCGGTCATCGATTTGTATCGATATATCGATTCAACGGCAAATGATCCGATGCATCGATGTGACCGCATAAATATCGATACGTGCGTTTTTATTTATTTTCTCGCCTGTTCCAGTATTGTTTTCATGATCCACTCCGACGTATACATGGTCTACACCAGGGGTGCCCAATACGTCGATCGCAATCTACTGGTCGATTGCAAAGGTAGTGCGGGTAGATCATATGGCATAAAAAATAGAGGATGAATGACGCGTTCAACCGCGCCAGCTGCTGCAAGCTACCGAGTCGCCTCGTTAGCCTCCAATTTATTTCTACTAAACTTAAGAAAGGGTATAAAAATGAATGGGGGAGCTGGACCAAGTAAGAAGCCAAAAACCTACCACTTTTTTCCACCATGTCATATTCGAAGTGCATTTGCCTCATCTGTCAGTAAGGAACTAAAATCCCAGTTCAATTCAGAAATACTTTATTCATCCCAAAGGGAAATTAATAATAATAGTAATAATAATAAATAATATTAAAGAATACGCAATATTTTTACACATAAATATATGTTTTGCATTTATATAGTGATCATTTTTACTTGGTCATTTATAAGTAGCTCGCAAGCTAGCGTACCTTCAGAGCGTGTGTTTAGTACGGCAGGTGACATAGGACGCTATGCTCAGAGCACACAATCTCCTGAACACATTGACCATTTAATTTTTCTTTAAAAAAATAATAATAAATGCTGACATACTTGTTTCACTGCAGAAGTCAGTCTATTGATCTTCCTCATTCTACATGTCTGTCCATGCAATGTATTTTATTTGACTGTATTGCACTTTATTTTACTTGTCATTGTTGTATCCCAGCGTAGGGCGAGCGAGCAGGGAACGAGGAATCAG